ATATTGTTACTTTAAGTATACTTTCAAGGACAAAAGTATACTTAATTATATCAGAAGTACACTCCAAGTACACTTGTGATGTTACTTTAAGTATACTTTCAAAGAGAAAAGTGTACTCAATTATATCAGAAGTACACTACAAATAAACTTAAATTATTACTTTGAAGTATACTTCAAGTATACTTTTAGTGGCCCAATTTAGACCCAAGGAGTATAATTCTAAGTAAACTTTAAGAACAAGTATGCAAATAAACTTATGTACACTTAAGTATACTTGAAATTAGATACTTAAAGTATACTTCTTTTTCGTAAGGGTTTCAGAAACTAAAGTTTTTGCAATGTTATACTAATGTTACTGCAAAGTAATATTAACCTTAAGATAACGTTTCAGAAACATTAATCTTCTGTTCCATTATTGTTTTGCTAACCTTAAGATAACGTTCCAGAATCATTATGCTGATGTTCAAGCGTTGTTTTGCTAACCTTAAGATAACGTTCCAGATACATTATACTTGTCATGTTCTGTGTCCCTTTGTTCCCCAGCCCCTCCAATTCCCACTCCAGGTTCTCCTTTTGTGTTTCATATCGCCCTCATATGTCCTTTGCATCTCATTTATGTGTCTCCTGTGTTCCTTTAGTCTTCTCCAGTCATCCCTCTGCAGTGTTTATAGTTTCAGCTTTTCATTTTTATTAGTCTCTTTAATATGTTTTGTCCCACCGGTTTTTGTAGTTCTCCTTCCCTTTAGAATTTTAGTTATATGGTTGCTTTTGTGTTTTTAGGTTCACTCTTAGGTCATGTTAGTTTCTTCCCTGATTAGTCATTGCTTTCACCTGGTCCTCCCCCCACACTCCACACACCTGCAGCTCATCTGCCTCCCATTATGCCCCAGTGTATTTAAGCCCTGTCTTGTCTCTGTGTCTTGTCGGTCCATTGTTGTTTGTTGTAATTCTGTCAAGTTCTTCTCGTGCCTCTAGTGCTTGGATCTAGTCTTCTCGTGCCTCTTGTATTTTTGGATCTCCAGATCTCTATCTGGATTTTTGGACTGTTGGCTCCCAGCCTTTTGGATTACTTTTGTTTTTTGGTTACTCCTAAAATAAAGGATTTCACTTTACATCTTCCCCAGCCTCGTGTCATCCTGGGTTTCAGCATATTTGGGTCCTAAACATCCCCAGATCGTGACAATACTGATGTTCCAGCGTTGTTTTGCTAACCTTAAGACAATGTTCCAGATACATTATGCCGATGTTCCAGCAATGTTTTGCTAACCTTAAGATAACGTTCCAGATACATTATGCCGATGTTCCAGCAATGTTTTGCTAACCTTAAGATAACGTTCCAGAAACATTATGCTGATGTTCCAGCAATGTTTTGCTAACCTTAAGATAACGTTCCAGATACATTATGCTGATGTTCCAGCAATGTTTTGCTAACCCTAACCCTAACATTCCAGAAACATTATGCCAATGTTCCAGCAATGTTATGCTAACCTTAAGATAACGTTCCAGAAACATTATGCTGATATTCCAGCAATGTTTTGCTAACCTTAAGATAACGTTGCAGAAACATTTTTCTAGCCTTTAGATAACGTTCTGGTAATGTCAGGCTAACGTTTTAGCAATGTTTTGCTAATGCTGCAACAATGTTTTTCCAAACATTAACAAAATGTTCCGGTAACATTGTAGCAGTATTGCAGCCATGTTATGAAAATATTCCGGGAACGTTATGCTAATAATCAAATAACGTTTCAGTAACCGTTCCAGTAATGTTATGCTAATGTTCTGTTAACATCACGCTAACCGTAAAATAACATTCAAACAACTTTAAGCAAACATTCCAGCAATGTTTTTGTATCGTTAACACACCATTCCAGTAACGTTAAAAAAACTGGACATTTCTACGTTTTTACAACATTCAAAGTAAACATTCCCATAACGTTCTGTTAACATCATGCTAACCGTAAAATAACATCCAAACAACTTTAAGCAAACATTCCAGCAATGTTTTTGTAACGTTAACACACCATTCCAGTAACGTTAAAAAAACTGGACATTTCTACGTTTTTACAACATTCAAAGTAAACATTCCCATAACGTTCTGTTAACGTCATGCTAACCGTAAAATAACGTTCAAACAACTTTAAGCAAACATTCCAGCAATGTTTTTGTAACGTTAACACACCATTCCAGTAACGTTAAAAAAACTGGACATTTCTACGTTTTTAAAACATTCAAAGTAAACATTCCCATAACGTTCTGTTAACGTCATGCTAACCGTAAAATAACATTCAAACAACTTTAAGCAAACATTCCAGCAATGTTTTTGTAACGTTAACACACCTTCCAGTAACGTTAAAAAAACTGGACATTTCTACGTTTTTAAAACATTCAAAGTAAACATTCCCATAACGTTCTGTTAACGTCATGCTAACCGTAAAATAACATTCAAACAACTTTAAGCAAACATTCCAGCAATGTTTTTGTAACGTTAACACACCATTCCAGTAACGTTAAAAAAACTGGACATTTCTACGTTTTTACAACATTCAAAGTAAACGTTCTGTTAATGTCATGCTAACCGTAAAATAACATTCAAACAACTTTAAGCAAACATTCCAGCAATGTTTTTGTAACGTTAACACACCATTCCAGTAACGTTAAAAAAACTGGACATTTCTACGTTTTTACAACATTTAAAGTAAACATTCCCATAACGTTCTGTTAATGTCATGCTAACCGTAAAATAACATTCAAACAACTTTAAGCAAACATTCCAGCAATGTTTTTGTAACGTTAACACACCGTTCCAGTAACATTAAAAAAACTGGACATTTCTACGTTTTTACAACATTCAAAATAAACATTCCCATAACGTTCTGTTAACGTCATGCTAACCGTAAAATAACATTCAAACAACTTTAAGCAAACATTCCAGCAATGTTTTTGTAACGTTAACACACCATTCCAGTAACGTTAAAAAAACTGGACATTTCTACGTTTTTACAACATTCAAAGTAAACGTTCTGTTAATGTCATGCTAACCGTAAAATAACATTCAAACAACTTTAAGCAAACATTCCAGCAATGTTTTTGTAACGTTAACACACCATTCCAGTAACGTTAAAAAAACTGGACATTTCTACGTTTTTACAACATTTAAAGTAAACATTTCCATAACGTTCTGTTAATGTCATGCTAACCGTAAAATAACATTCAAACAACTTTAAGCAAACATTCCAGCAATGTTTTTGTAACGTTAACACACCATTCCAGTAACGTTAAAAAAACTGGACATTTCTACGTTTTTACAACATTTAAAGTAAACATTCCCATAACGTTCTGTTAATGTCATGCTAACCGTAAAATAACATTCAAACAACTTTAAGCAAACATTCCAGCAATGTTTTTGTAACGTTAACACAACCGTTCCAGTAACATTAAAAAAACTGGACATTTCTACGTTTTTACAACATTCAAAATAAACATTCCCATAACGTTCTTACAACAAATTTTTGTTAGCTGGGTATATTCATTAATCTCCCCCCTTTTTCAGCCTTTAATCCATTAAAAACGTTAGTCACCTCCTTGTAAATGAGCAGGTATCGATGCATTTAGATTATAGGCTCATTAAAATAAAACTTTAGCTCTTTGGGAGCGGGTTCCTGTGAAAACGATTGTCAAGTAAACGTTTATATATAAATCTTCTCCGTGCAAAGATACAAAAGCCTAACATTACCAAAACAAGAGAACAGGCTGATACAGTATAATCACCTAGAGGCAAAAACACATAATATCGTCTCAGGTTCACCTTCAGTCTGAGTTTTGAGATGTTCCTCTGATGCTTCAGGGGAAAAAAATCTCCATCAAATATTATTTAAACATTTATCTACTGGGCCTCTGTGAGAATCCTAGTTCTCCCAGTTGTTGTTTAAAGGCAGTTCTGCAGATTAATTCAGGTTCTGGTTCAAGCACGTTCAAACTCAAGCCAAATATGTATGTAAAAAGTATCCTAGAACCAATCCAGGCAATCAAAATAAACCCCAAATCCAGATATAAGGACAACCACATCAAGCTGAGCTGATTTTTAGTTTAAAGGATTAGCAACTTTTTCATATTTTTTAATTATTTCCTTGAGCCAGAATGGGCTAAAATGACCCTTTACAGGGTTAATGAAAGGTCACCAAGTCCCTAACGCCCCTGTGGCCAGAATATTCCACTTGCAACTCCTCAGTTGGTCTGTTGACCTTACCGACCTGGCGCTGTAGTCTCGCTTCAGCGTGTTTCCTGCATGTTTTAAATCATGAACACAGCTGATTTGTTTAATTTAGTGATGATTCACTCATAGACGTCTCAGCTGTTAGATTAAGGTGTTAAAAGACGAAGGCACAGCTTATTATGTGTTATCAGAAGCTTTTCACAGGACCAACCATCTCTCCCTCCCAAGATGACGATTCTTAGAAAGCGTGTTAGACAGGGTTCTGACTTTTTCATATGCTACATTCGACCACCCAAACTGCATTTATTAAACAACTAAAATGTGGTTTTACATTCAACTGCCCTTTTAAGGAGCTTACTGTAAATGCAGCAGCAGACTAGGAGTGTCGGAGGTGATTTTAGAGAGATTAGCATTTGCAGTTTACAAGTAATGGACTAATTGTATTAAGACTAATTTCAAAAAGAACACATCGTCCTAAAAACAAGAGATGCATTCATTTTAAACTGGCAATGCCGCAGTCCTCATCTTTTACACAAGACTTTGCTAATGAGGAAACAGAGGACTGCATAGCAGGAAAGGCAGCAGAGGAAGAGTTGTATGAAGTAAGTAATGATGAAGTCATCCATCAAGCATTAAGTCCAAATCCAAGTCACATGTTTTTGTGACACAAAGGCCCATCACTTGATTTGCATAACACATAGCACATGCATTATATAGTACACATGATTTTTTGTCAATTAGCGCTTATTAACCATACTGCATCAGCATGCTAATGCAGCCATCTTACCTACACAGCTCATCTCTGGAGCAGTAGTTCTGTAGGCTGAGGCAGTTGGGTTTGCCCGCTCTTTCCTCTCCTCTCAAGTTCTCCTCATAGGAACATGATGGCACAATGGTTTTCCTTCGCCGTTCGCCACACAGGGTGTCAGAGCAGGGACAGAAGAGCAAAGCAAAGCTGTACTCTTCTGGTACGCGCTCCAGGAAGCGCCGAAGGGCTTTGTGGCATTTCTGACGGTTGCAGCTGTTGTCAGTGGCTGTTGCGCGCTTGGTGCAGGCCACAACATATTCTGACCGAAGCGAGCCACATTTCTCATACAGACCACAGTCCTGAGCTGCCTTCAGACACTGGTTCTGACCATCCACACTAAGAGAGGTGGCTGAGGGAGTAAAAACAAAGGTTTTGTGATGTCTCAATATATATTAATAAACATAAAAATCTGTCTCATTTTGTTGTTCAGATGTACTCTACCTGCCATGATGGACGCCATGCGGGACATTTCTATGTTTCTCACCAGATTTAACTTCAGTTCCTCATATGGGGACACTTCATACTCATCATATGCTAAAACACAAACAGGAGAAACAAGGATTGAAAAAGCCTCCCTACAAACACAAATGCCAGTATTTCTACCCACCTGCGAATCTGACAGTCCAGTAAACCTTCAGGCAGTGTTCCTCCCTGCGAGAGCCACGCTGACACTTGCACACTTGAAGGGGGCGATAGTGCTGCAGCGAGTTCTGGGCCTCCAGGCACTCGAGGCGAGCATCAGAGCTGAGGGGCGCCACAGCCTCCTCCGCTGCGCAGTACTCCAGCAGCCGATAGATGCCCATGCAGGACGGCTCCTTGATGCAGCCTTGCTCCGCCAGCAGACAGTCTAACGATGCAGATACCGACAAGCTACCTGGAGGAGAGGGGAAGCATTACCAATGACAAAAGATCATTAACAACACTGGGTTCACCGTTCTGGAAACCATCATTAATCCTTTCACTAAATAGGCTTTAATTAAGACAGGAGAGAAGGATGATTGCACACTTGAGACCTGGCTCTGCCTTACTGGATACAGAGAAAAACAATTACACTGGAACTAAAAGGTTTAGCAATAGGAGCAAACCTAAAAAACAAAATAACGCTAGTTCTCGCACTGTCTCGTTTATTATTTTAAAACTTTGTTTTATTTGACTTTAAGCCTAATAAAGCTTCAGCTGTCTGATGTCTTCTCAGTACCGCAGTAATCATTCACCAACACAAATGGAACCAAAATTTATGGAGCATTTATTAAACCTACAACATCGTTCTTTACTCTTCCCAGTTCTTAAGCTCTAATTGTTCCTCTAAATGCAGAAATTCAGAGGTTTTTTCTCAGATTGCACCATTAATGTCTTGCACCTTGAGCCCCTCTCCCTACTTCCGTGACAAGTAACAACGTCTATCGTTTGTGAACGCTCACCTCTAGCCAGGCGAAAATTCAAATCAATTCAAGTTTATTTATATAGCACCAAATCATGATAAGAATCATCTCAAGACACTTCACATAATAAACATTCCAATACAGGTCAGTTCGTTAAGCCAATCAGAAAAATGTTTCCTATACAAGGAACCCAGCAAATCGTATCGAGTCACTAACTAGTGTCAGTGTCTTTACAGCAATCCTCATACTAAGCAAGAATTTAGGGACAGTGGAGAGGAAAACTCCCTTTTAACAGGAAGAAACCTCCAGAGGATCCTGGCTCAGTATAAGCAGCCATCCACCATGACTCACTGGGGATCGAGAAGACAGAGCACACACACACACACGCACGTGCGCGCACACACACACACACACAGACACACACACACACACACACACACACACCAACATCAGCCCACCCACACACAAACACACATGGAACCAAACACACAACATATATACCAAGTAGGGTTTCTATGGTTACACTGTGATTTCTTTGTAAATATTCTATTTGGTGTGAGAAAAACTTTATTGTATTTATCCTAGTGAATCTATAATTAAATGGGTAAACTAGTAGTAGCACATTCAATGTCATAGAAAGTAAAATGTTATTATCAGGAGAGGGAGAAAGTTTAAGTGGTTAGCAACAGTGTTCAAGCCAATGGCCCCCTCCATGGGGCTACCATAGCGCAGCAGAACATCATTGTAGCTTCTTCTGGGGAGAAAAACACTTAAGAGAAAAAATGTCATGGTCTGCGTCCTGCGTCTCCCTCATGTGTCTCCTTGTGTTGTCCATCCCCCTCTAGGATCCCCTTATGTGTCTCCTTGTCTGCAGCCCTCTCCAGATTCTCTCTCCAGGTGTCCCCTCTGGTCCTGTGTCCCTTTGGTCCCCAGCCCCCTTCTGTTCTCCTCAGGTGTCCCCTCAGGTCCTGTGTCCCTTTGGTCCCCAGCCCCTTCCATGTTTCCCTCATGTTCCCCCTGGTCACTTTATACTTAGTTATCCCATCCAATTTAGTCTAGTCTCTCCATAGATCCCCTCCCTGTCTCTTTAGTTCCCCAAGCAGAAGATTTAGTGTTTTTTCTGGTGTCTAGTTTCAGGTTTATTAATTCTCTTATCTTTAGTTTTCTGTATAGTTATTTTTCCCAGTCAGTCTTTTCCTGTAACAATGTGTTCCTTTCCCATTTAGTTAATTAATCTCTCCTGATCCCTTCAGCTCACACTCCCCACACACCTGCTACCTGTTTCCCTGATTGCTCCCCTCTGTGTATATAACTATCTGTGTCTCTCTGTGTTGTTGGTTCATTGTTCGTGTCGGTGTTGTTTTGTCGTCGTCCCCCCCCCCCCCCCCCCACCACCACCACCACCCCTTCTAGATCTCTAGGTCACCAGGTTTTTTGGCTCCGTGCCCCACTAAGTTTTCTTTGGCTCTGCCCTACTAGGATGTTTTGGCTTTCGTGTCTCTCTAGGTTTTCTTTTGGACTCACCATCTTAATAAAGATGTTTAATTTTACGTCCTCTCCTGCCTCGTGTTATTCTGGGTATCTGCGCTTTGGGTCCTACTCCTCCAACCCTCAGCGTGACAAAAATAAAAGTTAATGGCTGAAATAGCAGGAAATAATACAGTTAAAGAGCAGATTGTAGAAGAAAGTAGTAGAGTGTGGAAAGTGGTCAGTGTGTCCTCCAGGAGTCTAAGTCTATAGCAGCATAACTACAGCGATAACTCTGGATAACCTAGCCTTTTAGATGGAGGCATGTTGGAGGCAGGGCAAGGGAGAGCCGTCTTTACCGACTGTACACTCCACTTCCCTCTACTCCCCCACTTGTCCAGATCTAGACTAACATCAGATTTTAACCATAGGCCCTATCAAATATAAATGTTTGAAGCTTAGTCTTAAAAGTAGACAAGGTGTCTGCCTCATGGACTAAAGCTGGGAGCTGGTGCCACAAGAGAGGAGCCTGATAGCTAAAAGATCTGCTTCTCATCCCAGGGTTTCACCCAGTGCTTTATAAACCTGGCGGCCCGCTAGGCTTTGCTTACCCACCCGCCAGGCTAAGCGTCATGCCCCTCCCCCCTCCCGGACCCTACCGTGTCTGCTGACACTAACGGCGCAACGAAACTAGAGCCCTCCATCAGCTGATACTGGTGAGAAACAGCAGCGGAACGTGTACAACCACCCCAACCCTGCTGCACACAAAGTTCCCGAGAGAAAACTCTGGATTGCTGCTTTAACCACATCTTATTTACTCTTTTTGAACCCATAATCTCCCAGTTCACCGATGTATTTTGTTTTTGCTCGTTTTGGTGCTGAACAATGACAATTTTGACAATAGTTTGGCAATTATTTCAGCCGTTTGGAATGTTTATCTTGAGAACAGAAGACTCGATTCACTATGGTGACTGTAATCCTGTACATTTACTAGAATATACTCAATAGAGGACCAAACATGTTTTTATCATTGATTTCCTCATTAAATGGGATTATTTACCTTCCTCATCCAAGTCTTATTCACATCTTTCCAAAATTTGTTTAAAAATATTTAGCATTTTTTAAGCCTATTTCAAACATTTCAATGAAGTTGGCTTGAGGATTTACAACAATATCAACCCAACTTCCTTCTTAGTTGGTATTTGCTGCTCAAAAACACAACATTCAGAAGCTTGGCAGAAATGTTATCAACTAAAGGACAGCAGAAGCTCAGGAGGTACAGTGGGCTGTCCAGTACTCGGAAAGTTGCAAGTTCAATGCTGCTGTGTTCTTGGGCAAGACACAAAACCCGCCCTGCCTGTGGTGGTGGTCAGAGGGACTGGTGGAGCCACTGTATGGTAGGTCTCGCCTCTGTCAGTGCACCCCAGAGCTACTGTGGATGGATGAAGAGAGTCAACCCTCAACCACCACAGCAGTCGAGGGTTTTGCCGCTGGAAATGCTAACACGAACGTTAGCTAACCTTGCAACACTATACTGTAGATGGTTTTCTGTGAGGCTGTACGTGTTTATGATTTCATGGAAAAGTCAGGGATTGTTCATATGTTTATGATGTGAATTAATGATTGTTTCAGGTGTTGTTGAGGTTTTGTGCACGCATGTGTATCTGCTAGTGTTGAAGGTGTTTTAGAGAACAACAGGTACACATGACCACTTCCTTCACAGCACCCTCAATAGAAAGACTAGCTCCTTCATAGCACCTGCAAAAAAAAAAATTCTGGAGCCGCCACTGCTACATCGTAGCTCATCCCCACCAACGTGTGAATGGGTGAATGACTGATGTCTTGTTAAGGGCCTTGGGGGGGGGGGGGGGGGGGGGGGGTACAACCCTTAGAATGTGCTATACAAATACAGGCTATTTAACATTTACCATGAACAAACACGAAACAGGGTTTCTGTAATAACAGACGTCAAAGACGTCAAATTTTCCAGACGGACGATAAACAAAAACTTATTACAGACCCAGTTCCTTTTCTGTTAATCAAAAATAACATTCTGACTTTAAAAAAGGTCGCAAAATCCTCAGAAAATTAGTACATTTGTCATTAGGGCTTTAAAGCCTGGTATAAAAAACGTTTGTTGCTTTTACATACCCTATACCATTTGGCCTTCAGATACAAAATACTCATTTACTAGACAAAAGACTTCTGGAGTTATACACAGAGAGCTGGAGGCAAACCGTTTTTGCTGCAGAGTGCCGTCTATTTTCACCAAGGTCAGGCTGTCTCGACACACGCTATACTGTTGAGCCCAGAGAGCTGTTTAACGTTTCCTAGCAGCTTCTAAATATTTCTATTATAAAAAGACTCAATCGTGGTATTGCACTATCTCAACCAATTCAAATGCCTACTCTGTCTTAAAAAATCTGACAGGTGCATTATGCCACACCAAAGCTGACAGATTTGAGGCAGTTATTTATTCCGTACATACTTTATCCTACAATAAACCCAGCTGTTAGTGGGTGACAAACAGGCTACAGCTGCAACAGGTTGTCATGCTCACACTCACTCCTAAAGTCTATTAGTCGTGCGGTTTTTGGCCTGTGGGAGAAAACCCCCCACACAAAATCCACAGAGAACGTCAGGGATTCAAACCAGAGACCGTCCTGTAAGGTAACAGCTAAGCCACACCACTACATAACTCTTTATTCCTCATTGTGCCTTACAAAAGTCTAAACAGTGTTTCTCCACAACGATGTCCCACAATGCTGTCCTCAACAATAACACATTAGCTGGATTTTGATTGACAGTCTTCTAACCAGAACAACTGTGAGTGAAAAAATCCAAATCATAATGATGATTGTTGCTCCATGAGAAGCACAATGAGATGAGGCGGCCCGAGGGAGACGAGAGGAAAAATATATATGACAGCGCCCATAAAAGAGAAACGCTTTCCAATTAAGCATTCCAGGAAATTAACTTTTTTTTTATTATTTTTTAATGTGACTCGTAATTATCCTCACAAATT